ATCATTGCCTGCATCACAGGGTTATCTGCTTAGGACACCTCCCCTTTGAMCTAAGCATACATAATATGATCGAACTCACCATCCTAATCTCTAAACACTTGGAATTCTGCATGGTGAGGGGAATGTGAGAAAAGAAGTTAAGCAACTAAATACACTAATTTCAGTTTCAGTATTTTGTATCTGCAAAGGGTAAAACRTGTGAGAAAGAACAACACAGGAATTACTTAAATGAAATTACTAGGTACTATAATAGGAGCTTTTTGGAATGATGCCATGGCAAATGTGAGGCACGCCACTGACACGCAACAATATCCTGAAAACACCGCTTTTCTTCTCATAGTTGTCCTTTCAAGTTACTCATAATTAATGTTACCAATTGATAGTGTATACTCTAATTAAAATTAATAATAGTAATTCATGGACAGACAGGAAAGGATGATGCTCTGGTAGAGTCAAGTCAATTCACAGCCAGTGATTATGATTTCTATTCATATTTAAGAACTATCCTGATCTCTGGTTCTCCTCCTCATCTATAATGTTAATTAATAGGAAAATACAAAATGTACACATTTTGGAGAGTTCCTGTATCCATTATCTTCCCCACTGATCTGTATACAAAGAGGTATGTAAATTGCAATTACTACTTGCAATTTCTAATGGAGTCCAGAAGCAGGCTGCTTGACTTAAAAATACATTATACGTTCCCCAAAGACTATAAATTAAAAGCAAATGACATAAATCAGGTGTGGAGGACAACAAGTTAATAGAGAAGAGGTCAGAACAGTCAGGCAGGGCAAGAGAATAATTAGGAATGGACAAACACAAAACATAATAGAGTAATTAAGTTGAATAACTTGTCATAAATGATACAGAAACAAGAACACAAGAGAAATATGAACAAGAAAGCATAGTGGAAGTTCATAAAATAGCTTTTTATAATTTAGAGTTAAATTCATCCTGCTTATCAAGTGGTTGTACAGCATGTTTAATGCCTCCAAATTCATGAGGGACATATGTAATTTTAAAATTGTATTTTAAAGCTAAATATATGTGGTCTGGCATCTTTTCCTGAGGAAAGTTTAACAATGGATACTGTTATAATAAGATTTACTGATAGTGAGATTAAGATTGTATACTGTATATGGTATATTGTTATTTGCTATTAATCTATTAGGTCCCTTGTCTCTAAACTTTCTTAGACTCCTGCCTTCCAACCACACTATAGCACATCAGTGGCAACATTTAAATGTTGGTTTTGGTCCTTTTTCTTCTCTATGTTTTTTTCCTTTGTGACAATAAGAGAAAAACAAAAACTGACCTATAAGTAAAATAGGGACTAGWTCATTATGTTCTTAATGCTATTGCCCTTCATACGGAATAACAGCTCTAACTTAAGGGCAGCCACCTGAAATGTGAAATGCAGTAGTAGCGCTACAGGGCCCAACAATATTAACATAATGATACGTTCAGGACAACGTGAAAGAAAATATCGTATTTAATAGAAATTGCTAGGATAACACAATTATTTATAATGAATGAAAGGAATGTTTATTCCCCCGTGTCAAGACTTGGAGCACTCTCCTTCCTTTCTGGTAACTTCAATTTTTTCAGAAAAAAGAGGAACAGGACGTGAACTGGTCAAAAGAGGCCAGATCCAGAAACTGTGCATTTGGAGACACTGGCTCAGAACTGACTCAAAGGAATATTTTCCATCAGATGCCTATCTTAATAACATGGTTCCTGAGCATGAGATTCCTTAGTGTCCGCAACGTGGCCTAGTATAGCCCGTTTAGACTGGTTTGGGAGATGCAATGTATTCATAAAGTACTGGCTTCAGGCCTTTCTAACAGAATGGCCTGAAATTTCAGTACAGTAACTCAGTTTTAGAAAATATGTTTGATAAAAAGCCAAAAAAGTTAATTCAAAGAATCACACAGCATTTTGGCCGCACATTCTGTTTAAGATCAACTGAAGTCACTAAGGAACACAGTTGAATTCCAATGGTAGCATAAAGAAAATATTATACCTGAAAGGTACCAATTATCAATCAAACTTTGAGTCCACAAAATTATTTATGTGGCAACAAATTCCCCATAGAACCATGGTGTTGATGCTGGCAGACACTATTCCAACAGCTACTCGTATATGAGATTCCATGGATCRCTGTGGTGATGTGCTGGAAGAGTGAAGAGCTCACATCTACTTCACACACTCATTTTACCTATCAGAAGAAGCCACAGAAAACTCCTAGCTGAGCCTCCCCCAGCAAATATGAAAGACCTACAGAGCATTGGTTATGATGAAACACAGCAGGACCCACCTTTGCCAATAAGAGCTGCTGCAATGGGAAATCACACCTCTAAAAGCAGCCATAGGAAAACATAATTCTCAACTATTTATTAATAAAAAAAACCCCAACTTGCTGGTGAGAAGTGGACACGTTTGCACCACTCCTAATTTTCAATTTAATGTACCCTCCCTAATCACTTCAGCACTACTTAACATTCAAGAGGATTAATTTTTTCCCACTGAGGCTGCAGAAGCATTCTCTACAGAAGATCATATTAGGAGGGACAGGAGTGAATTTAATGCACTGGATTTGAACTAATTTACAAAACTCATTAAAATTCCAACGTTGCACAAGGTAGGTATTCTACCATGGGCTGCTGTGAATCTGGAGATCTAACCCCTCTCCCCTCCCATGGGAATATTTTAAACACAATTAGAAAGGGGAAAGCTCTGGGACCTAAACAAATGAAGTGTTTTGTAAATCAAAATGTATCATTAGTCATAATTTCAACTTCCGTTCATCAAATAAGGTCTGGAGCGAGTGTGGGGAAACTACTTAGATGGTTAGTTAGTTATACATAGGAACCACAAGCGGAGTAGTAATTTTAAACAACGTCGGGAGGCAGCAGAATTAAGACAGCAATGTGAGAGGATGGAAAAATATATTTCTTCCTCAACTCCAAGACAACTTAGATAATTCTTTCCATGACAATTTGCACTGTATTCCTTTGCCATGCAACAAACAAATGCTGCTAATGCACTGGCAAAATTTTAAAGAAAAGTATTTTATTTTCTTAGGGCAGTACACATGTGGAAAAACAAAAAAACAGATGATATTTTGGGCGTACTATCTATTTAGGAGGCCTATTTGCCAAAGAAAATCTTTTCTGTTTTCTTTACCTACATCTCTTGATCTAATAAAAGATTCCACCTATGCCCATAGACCCTGAATATATTCAAAGATCATCCCAGGTATAATAAGACTAGTCTGTCTATTTTAGGGATGTTCAGTCTTTGCTTTACTTCTCCTTTCAGAGATTCCTCCTATACACACCAGAGGTTTTGGCACGCAGTACTTCAGCCCCGTCTGAAAGCCTAAGTGGTTCTACATGGCAAGCTTCCTATTTTAATATCCAGTGTAGGAGCTCTGCCTCCGCACTGTATGAGGATGACCAGTATGATACTGAAAATCTTCTAATCCTGGATCAGTGACTACAGCCTCTCTCAGTGAGCACARGACACTGACTTGCTGGGCAGAGGGGATGACAGGCAGAAAAAAGAACCTCTGTGGAGACAAATGTAGGTGCAGCACGAGCCACACMGCCCACAGATGTTCAAACAAGAGTAGGGAGAAGGCAGGTACAAAGRCAGAGACCAACTGCCCTGTACCACCTAAGTCCTGTTGCAGACATATTTATCTTTAGAGGTCTGCTCTTCCTTCAGAATTGTTGGACTTGCTTCTGTTAGCTGCCTGTAATTTGGCTTCCGAGCTGCTGCCTCAAATTTCTGGATCACAATGCAACACTGAGCTGAAAGTGCAAGGAAATGAGCAAAAACGTCACAAAAGAAGAAAACCAGAGATGAAGCATTCAGGCTAGAATCAAGATAGTGTTCATTGACCCACAAAACCATTTTAACTACATAGGTCTTAGTGTGAGTACATACTCGATACAGTTCTATATATACATATGCAAGTGAATAATTTAGTGAAAGAATTGGCATTATAATCCAAAAGGTCAAAAAGACAAAATTAGTCAAATTTAATTCTGGTATAAATTCCTTAGATTAGCTTAGCTAAAAAAGTTTAAGCATTCTATACTATAGCAGCAAAACTATAAATTAAGGAGTTGTAGAGACAAATGGCAGGGAGTGAGAAAAAGGGKTTGTGAGGAATCATGAATTACAGTAAGAAAAGAGCAGATAAAACCTGTCATTGAAGGGATTAAGGAAGGCATGACATCGTCAGACTTGGGAGAAAGGAAGATTATTTCAGCAGCTGAATTATAACTAGTCTTACAGTCTCCATAGAGACTTAACTGGACATGCAATTACTGAGCTATTCCTCTTAGATCTGTGCTCTGAAACTCCTGGAAATACACAGTTMACACTCTGGAACTCTCCCTTAAAAGACAGATGTGAGTGCATGGGTAYGCACATGTGTGGATGGGGTATGTAGCACAGTGAGTCTAAATCTCAGCTTAGGTGCAAGCAAAACACACACAGCAACACGCACAGCAGACAGCAACAAACACAAAAAATACATATATTATATATATCAGACCATATGTTACAAAGATGAGAAGATTCTACACAAAGTATCTGATTCATAAAAATGCACCAACTATCATTTAAGTAACTACTGTCATTAATCATGAATGAAAGATTTAAGATCTCTACTGACTATATCTAATGCTTACATTAAGCAGCTAAAATCTGTTACCAGACAAAATATGGAAAAGATGGTATGTTGCATTTAGAGTCCCAATGAGTGTGCAGATGCATGCCCTCAAGCACTGCAAAACAGATAAAACGTCATAATAAATGCTAACTGGCAATGATTCCAGAAGGAATTGCATCCTTCCATCACTTTTAAGAATGGACYTTTGCTACCTGTATTCACTACTTASGGAATGATTTCACAGCACTGCACATCAGTAAGATCTCTGTCAGTGCTTCTGGTTTTCATTCAGAGCTTCAGGCCACAAACTCACCTGCTCCTGGGTCATCTTCTGCAGCTCTTTCTCCCAAGCTGCCCGGTCATCGTCCAGGTGGTAGGAAGCAGGCGGGGTGAGTCCACGCAGAATCAGGGGGTCACGGTCATGGCAGAGGGCTGTCAGATGTCCAATGTACAACTTCAACTTGCTGCGGTTCTGATCAAGTTCTAGGAGGGGCTGAATTATCTGGAATAAGAGGACAGGAATAGTGAGGAACAGCCTGAGACCCAAGCAACGGGGAATGCAGAAATCAACTACTAATTTACAATCTTTCCACTGGAAGAAACCTGAAGAGACAATATTCCTGCCCCATGGCACTTCTTTCACCCAACAACCATCCAGTATTGATGCAGAAGGAAACCAAACACACAAGGGGGAGGGGATGTGATGAGGATAGCTGGCTCCTTAACATAAAAAAGGATATAAATATAAATGGTTTAAATTAAATTGATTATCTCTTGATTGCTCAGCAGTGCTTCAGTGCTAACTCCTTGCTTTAATGAATACAAAATCTTCTGAGGAAAAATCTGTTTACAACAAGACGAGCAGTGCCAAATGTACCTTGTTTTGCGAACGTTTAATAGTAACATACGCATGCACTAAACAGGTTCTGAAAATAGTAATTGCTAATGATGTCAAGAAGCGGGTTTCTAAACTGACCATAGCTCTAATGTAGAGATGAGACAAAGACATACTTGAATCAAAAAGTCTATAATAGTGCTGAAAAGGCAAAGATTTCTATTTATTATGCAGGTCAGATTCCATATAAGACTAATAAATAAAACCAAGGAATTCTAAGAACTAATCTCTTCCATTACATTCTGCCTAATCTGAATCTCATCCAGGCTCCTCATTCCAAACCCTGGAACCATCCAGTTCCTACAAAAAGCGTCTGAAGAGTCAATTTTCCACTTGTTTTACTGAAAAGTGGAGCTCGAGCACACACACACAGACTCGGAGTCTCTCACTACACCCCACAAGAAGGAGCACTGCGTGCTAGGAGCTCACGGCGCGCATTCAAGCCGCAGCGTAGGTGGCTCTGGAGCTCGTGGCTGAGGCGAAGCGGGGAGCCGTGGGAGGCGGCGCCGAGGCCGGGCGGCACCGGCAGCGCCCGCGCTCCCGCCAGCGCCGGCACCTGCTGCCGGGCCCGCGAGGCCCGTTCAGCAGCGCCCCGCTGCCCCGCTAATGAACGAGGACAGAGATAATCCCCGAGTCAACAGACACAGGGCGCGGGCTTGGCTTCCAGCATAGCCTCTGGCTCCAGCGCGGCCTAACAGGGCTGTCAGGGCTCACTCGCTTTGTTTTTAGYGCTGTTCTACACGGATTAACTTCCACAGGGCGAGAGGACCGGGAAGCGGCGGCTAAGCAGCTAACGGATGCCAAGCTCCTCGGCATCCAGGGAGCTGGCTGCGCTCAGGAGCTCACACGGCAACATCAGGTTGGCAGCAGCTGAGCAAAGCCCTGGTGACAGGGCCACCGGGAACAGGGGAGAGACGAGACGCTGGCGGAGAGGGGCAGCTCCTGGGCTCTGTTTTAAACCCTTGTGCTACGCGCAACACTGGGCCAACATTTGTTGGAAGATGTCAACACATACGAAAACATAGTTTGATACAGCAAGAGTGCAGACCGCAGCATGCCAGAGCGCTCTCTTGTACAGGAGAGTAAGAAGGGTTAGTTTCAATAGCATCAAAATGGTTACTCCTGTCTCCCCTTCACCACCAAGCATGGCTGTCTTCAACCAAATACATCAACGTGGCTGTTTGGTGAGCAGGCACTGCCTGCCCCTGTCTCTGTTTTTTGGGTCACATCTCTTGAGATCCAAAAATGTACTGTATGAGTGAACCAAACCACAGAGCTTCTAATTTCCTAGAAAAGACAGGTAGAAAAGATGTCACTTTTCTACCTGACTACTACTCGTGCCCGCAGACTGGAAAACAACAGATTGTTTTCTTGCCCTGAAAAAGCAATATTTAATATACGTGTAAAAATTAGGCAGCAAATGTCTAATAATTAGCTAAGCAAACACTGCAGCAGCTGTCCTGCATTCTCTTTCAGATAATGGAGTCTACTGAGTATGTCAGACGTGCAGATTTCAGCGGGTAAGGAATCTGAGGCGCCAGCCTTGCCAGCTCCCCATTGCAGTGGCACTCCCTCTCTGATACAGAACAAACCCCAGAACTATGGAGCAGAAGTTATGGCAGGGTCTGATGACTCGGGGACACATTCCCTCTGCCCGTAGCCTTCCCCCTTACCTCGGGAAGCCTGTTCTCCTCCCTGGCCATAAGCCAAAGGAGGCGTGTGAAAGCTCGGGGCTTGCAGCGCTCCCAAGCCTGTTCAGAGGGCAATCGTGCCTCTCGCTGGGGATCCATTAAACCCCACCAGTCGTTTGGGAAGTGCCCTCAGAGCTGCTTTCCCGCCATATCGGATTTGCAYGAGCCGTTTAGCAGAAGGGGCCGCGCTTCCCACGCAGCCGAGCTGCTGCTGCCTTATCTCGAGGGGGTGCAAGAGCATTTGCTCAGGGCAAATTTGGCAACGCGGCGCTGGAGCCACAAAGCAGATCGTGTTGTCGGGATCAGCTCCGGGCTGCCGAGCTTTCTAGGAACACAGGGGCRGACCAGGCTTCCCTCCAAGCGCGGGATTATCTTCAGCCAGTCTTCATTCATGGCACYGATGTGCTGAGAGCATCCTCATCAATGCACAGAATGAAGTCTGTGTAATGTATCCGCAAGCTCAGGGTCATGGTAATGGCCAGTTAGGCCTGGAAATGGATTTCACTGGACGCAGCAAGTGCTATAGCGGTGAAGGAGAAACACGACATGCTTGATGGAACTCCAGTATGAAAACAAACCCTTTCCATCAACTGATAAAGACACTGGGGAATGGGTTTCAAAACCAATTCCACTCAGACACAGCAAGCTTTTTGAGCTTTCACAGAAAGTTTTTACTTTGAGTGTGAGAAATGTGATTCTAACTGAAGCTTTGCAAGCTATCGGGGGCAAAAATAAGCTCTAAAATGAAATTATTGCTGCTTCTTCAACTGCACTCCCGCTGCTGCTGTAAAATAGCCAGCTTAAATATGAATAACTGTATTTATAATTTGTTTAATGATAGAAGTCTGCATTCAAACGCAAATATGTTCAACATAGATAAGAAAAGGTACTTGTGCTGAGTGTGGTTGGAGAGACTTATATAAATGTTTGGTCACTTTTACGGCGAGAGACGAATACACCTCAGATACGGAGACTGTGGTGTCTGAAAGTTTGTCTGAATGGTGTCTAATGTAAATATGCTAAAACACGTAGGTGGTTATATGAAGAAGAAAACCAGCAAATGGTCGGTATGATTGCAACAGCACTCAACTGACACAAATGCAATATTGACTATCCATAAATGTCTGCAGGGCACAGTATGGTTTTAATCAACATGCAATAGGAGTCACCACAAGCCCCTGCTCTAAATTATTGGTTCTCCATGCAGAAGGGCTAATGACTCAGTCACCTTATCCCCTCTAACATCCCCCTTCTGTGAAATCAGCCACCATGCTTTTCTTTCTCAGAACTATGTAACTAACATTATTCAGCTATTTCAGAGAAAATGTTCTAAATTTCTCCCTAGCTATAAATCTGCAGCTTCCCTTTCGGAAGAGAAGAAATTTTGGGGCTTGTAGGCAAGTCTAAAAGTTTGTCTTTTTTTTTTTTTTTCCCAGCTACATCAGGTTATATAATAAAAAAAATTCTCTATTATCGTATTATAAAACTTGCCTCCCTGGTCAGAATCACGCATATGGATCAAAGGCAAAATGGATCTTTCTTACAAGCCCATGTAGAGTCTTCTTCTAGGTAAGAATAACGAAAAAAAAAAAAAAAAAAGAGGAGAAAATAGTTTCTTTTTGGCTTGGCACCGGCAGGACTATTCCTGTACTCTCCTATTATCTTGTTTGCATGTATCTTGTGTGTATTCTGTAAAGTCAAAAAACTCCAAACAAACAAAGTCTCTCAAACTTCAGTTCCTCCTGGATAATGTGAATACATTTTGAAAACAATCCAGTTAAACTGAGCTAGCCCTTTACCACTTGTCAATCACATCCTCACACTCATGTGAGGATGCAAAATAATTTTCAGTTCCAGTTTTCAAACATTGCTGCATACAAATGCTAATTTGCTACCCGAAAAGCTTGTTTCCCAACCTACCATTGCCCAAGATGGGCTGAARGTCTGGGAAAATATGGATACTTGTTATCACCAAATTATTCCAGGAAGGATCTGAAAAGTCAAGATGGATGACACGGGCTTCTCAGATGTTGAAAAGAAACACAGAGAGGAAAAAAAAAAAAAGACAATTCCCCCATCTCTTGTTTTTATTATAGATATTATGAGAAAAGAAAATTTTGCCTATGKTGCAAAATTTCCCATATTCTAAGTCACAGAAAAGAGCTAAGAAACAGAATGATATAGTCTGGAAGTATTTGCATGGGAAACTGAATTACACCTTCTCTCTGGCCATTTGTGTTTGTTTGGCAACAAATGCAAGGGTTCAAGTACAAACAACATGTATTCATTGAATACAGTGGAATTTTATGAGGCATGAATTTGGCTTAGAAAGTGCAAAGCTTTCCCAAATTCAGCACAATTTATCAGCAATGTCTTCCCTTCATTATTTTAAATGGAAACAGAAGAAAGTTCTCAAAAGACATTGCCTGACCCCAGTTCAGTTCAGCTCAGTTCAGTGCTGCACAGAGATACTCGGTTTCTTCAGAAAATCACAAGAGAGAAGCCCAAGGACAGGCTCAGTTTTCTTTAGATTTGTTTTAAAGACAAAAATGGATTTAAGTCTACCCTTCATCATTTTCTCCTCGCGAAACAAAACAACATGCGTGAGGAGTTGAAAGAGATTGTGGCTATTTTGACAGAACTGTCTCTTTCTCAGTTCATTCCTGACAAAATCAATTAGGAAATCATTTTTATAAAGCAAATTCCTTTTGAAATTTTTATACACCATGAACAAATCCCATGGATTAATGATTTCCAGAGTTCACCCTCTTCACCTTGGGAGAAATCCAGACTAGAAGAAAAAAACAGAGAAAACACAAAACAGGGAAAGTAGTTTTTTCATTAGTTCCCTCCATTCAAATAAAATCACTTCTCTATAATGGAGGTGACAACCCAAGAATTGCAATGGGTTGCTGG